CCCCTGCCGTGACCCCGCTGCCCCTCCCTGCAGCTGGGAGCCAGCGAGTCTCTGGCAGCTGCAAGCTGCACCACAGCTGCATCACATCTGCACCCTTTAAAATATAAACGCTCACCGTGACAGCAGCACAAGCCATAGAAAGAACATCTGTTATACACATCTGAATAAATACAGCCTGCGGGCTGGGAGGGCACGGCCAGGCGCGGGGACGAGGCAGGGCGCAACGTGAGCTACACATGCAGCAACCGGACAATCACAAGCGGCCGACGGGGCGTGTGACAACACAGAGGTGTGTGGAGAGTCGCCCAGACCAGGCTCCCAAGCTCCGGCGCGTGGCACCGAGGGAGGCGTCAACGGGACGTGAAATGTGAGAGCAGCCCGTGGGGGCAGGCCTGCCCCGGCATGGGAGCCCCAGGGGCTTGCGGCTGGGGGGACACGCGTGCACGGGGGGCACATGTGGTCCCTTAGTGTGGGTGGCACAAGCACAGGCCACCCACACGGTGCTCTTCGGGGCAGAAGCAGGCAGGGTAGCCCAGCTACATTTCTGTTTCTGCCAAGAGGCTGTCACCGAGGCCCGACGTCATCAGGACCATCTGGGAGCTGGAACCTGTGGTGAGAAAGGGAGAAAACCGTGAGCTGCAGGAGAGGCTGGCGCTATGCTCCAGCCTGAGGTGAGCACGAGGAATTAGAGCCCAGCAAGGAGGGAAACGGAGACTGCTAAAAGGCTTTTGAGATTTCGGTAACATGCTCTGTCCCTGCAGCACAACAGAAGTGGTTCGTGGGGAGCAGGTTGGGAAAGCAGCAACAGCAGCAAGGGACCAAGACCACACCTGTGCCAGGGCTGGGGGATTTGTATTCATCACCTGCCAGCCACTTGGGGTACAGGACTGTTAAGAGGAAGGTCAGCGCTGGTGGCCCTTCAGACATATGCGCACAGGTGATACTGATTCTGCTGGCCAGGCCAGGCCATGCCCTTCGCGAGCCCTGCACAGCCCTTTAAAGCTGCTTTCACTCTGGGGCTTTTCAACTCTAGAGACAGTATTCTGGTGGGACTGGCTGACGGGACTGCAAACAAACTTAACCTGCATAGGAGCGCACACAGGTGGGGAACAGCTTGCCTTTTTTTTTTTTTTTCTTTTTCTTCGCCCAGAGGCCTGGAAAGCCTCGCTTTCTGTGCTGCATGAATGGAGGGTTTGTGTAGCCCACCCTTGCATGGTGTCAGGAAGGTGAGGGCAGCTTTCTGGCTCTGTGACTGCACAGAGCGCCAACCAGGAACGCTGCAACTCTCCCCCCCCGCCAAGTGAATCAGCTGCAAGGAGGATAGGCATGCATAGCAAATAAGGCACTAAGCAGGGTACTAGTTTCCCATCCAGAAGACTTTAAATAGCAGATAAATTGGTTTTTCCCCTGGATATGAGGAGGGAGATTTTTAATGCCCATAAGCTTCAGACCCAGAGTCCTACATACTCAAAACTGCCACGTGCAATCTCTGTTTTGGGGATCAGTTTGAGGAAGTGGATCCAAAACTTTGCCAGAGCATTTTCATGGCTCTGATAAATGAGGATCCAGACATTCTGAGGCTCTGGGAGTGGCTGTGCTTGTCTGTTAGTCTGATATTAGAATTAGGAGGGAGGAAGGGCAATTAAGGATGCCAGGTTAAAAAAAAACAGAACAAACAAAGAAAATCAGCAGGATGACCATGTAGCCTTGGCAATATACAATGCTGCATACACAAAAAATACAGAACAGCCTATTGGTATCTCCCTACTATACCTTTGTTTCTGTTATAAGCCACTGCACAGGCAGGCTGTGGCACCTGGCTAAGCTCTCGCAAGTTTAGGCCACAGACAGAAGAATAGCTGATGCTATGCAGATTGCAGGAGGATTCTGGAAGCAGTGACGAATGACATGAGTTTTGGCTAGGATAACTTGGCAAAGGCCTGTGAGATTTTTAACACTCCTGCCCTTGATTTTAAGACTTTGCACAAAGATGTTAATTCCTGCAGCATCAGCGAAAACACTTCTGAGGCACCGTTTCCACTCTTCGCTGCAGCCGCATTGTCCTTGGAGACAATCTCCAAGGAGCCCTTGGAAATCCCTTTCCAAGCACCGCTCAGCCCACTGCTATTTAACATGAAGGTCATGCCTGGAGGCAGTCTGGATTGCAGCTCACAGGGAGAAGGGACAGACCCCATTTACCAGTCCCACCATGAGACCGGTGCCACTAAGAAATACCCCAGGCACCCGGATCACTGCCTATCCAGCCCCTGCCCCCAGCCCCACAGCACTGGGCCCCAGAGCTCTCACTGTTCTGGCAGATCCAGGGGTTCTTCTCCCTGGCTGTGACTTCACGAGCCTCGGTCTCCTCCTCTTCCTCACCCTCTGAGAGCAGGTCGGAGATCTGTTGCTGCAGCTCAGGACTAATGTTGTTCTCTGCCAGGATGAGCGTCCGTAGGGCTGTGGGGTAATTCTCTACCATGTCCAGCAAGGTCTGGGCAGAAAGGGAGAAGAGCAGGCTGATGAGCAGCACAAACAGCAGCTAGGTTGAACAGGAAGGGTTTCAGAGTTGTGCTCTCCTGCCACCTCCAGCCCTCCTCTTTTTCCCTCTGCCTTCCCTTGGTTTTGACCTCCCTTTGCCAGGGTTTTGGAGAGCCTGAGGACTTCCCATCTTTCTCCGGGAAGAGCTGAGCCAGGATTTCCTACTTGTAGTTAAGGAGATTACGGCTCTATGCCCTGTTGCTCCTGTGCCCTCCTGAAGCATGTCCTACATCCTCTGGGTCAGGTGAGTCCCTTCTTACCACTGGGAGCTGGGGCTCCAAAGGGACAGCCTGTGCTGCCAAGCCTTGGCTCCTATCTGTCCACCAAGCTTTAGGTCTGATCCTCAATCACAAATCCAACCCCTTACTTGGTCCAAGAAAATCAGACTAGAAATTTCTCCCTGCATTTCTCCCTGCTGATCTGAGGCAAGACCGTAAAAGCCTTAGGTCAGGAGCTGCGGCCTACGAGCTCCTCCTGTTGCTGAATGTGATGGGCCAAGGGAAAGCAACAGCACGTCTGGACTCAGGGAGGGGAAAGGAGGCACGTACAGGTCCAAGAGCCTCTACTAGTGGCCAAAACCTATGCCCTTGAGGCTTTAGTGATGCAGCACGAGTACCAGGCTCTCCTTACCTGGGCTGATTGGTTGGTTAGTCCTGTTCCCTCCAAGTCCAGAACTTCAAGGGTTCGACTGGAGGCCACAGCGACGGCGAGCATCCCCGCTACCTGGTCTCCTGTGGGAGAAGCAAACCAGGATTGTCAGCGTTGCCTGCCTTCACTCATACGATTTCACATGCCCTCATGGGGCTAGGGCTGTGATGGAAACACTCTCTAGGAGTCTTCAGTATCAGACAACCTTCAAGTCCCTGATACCTTGGGGAAAAAAAGCTGTTGACTTAGAAAAAAGGCAAGGCAAAGGGGCACCATTTTCAGGTCATGAGAACAGTCACTGATAACAAGGGGGAACAAGAAGGAGCACAGGGAAATTGTTTCTATTCCCCAAGGAACTCTGTTTGCCCACAGCTCCTTCCTATTCAAGGACGCAAAGGCCTTTAACATCCCCCATAAGGGATCTTAGATGCAGAATAAGGAGCTGAATAACCTAAGAGAAAGTCAGAGTCTGGCAGAAGACAGTGCGCCAGCTGATGGACTGTCACCCTGGAGAGGGGAGGGACTTTTGGGGAGGATGCACCAGAACTGGCTGCACGTGAGACCGATGCTGGCAAAGACACGAAACTCCAGTGTATTTCCCCCGGTGCTCCCCAGGGAGCGCTAGGATATGGTATGACTGCAACACCTTGTCTCAGGAGGAAAACAAGGCTGCTGCCAAGTAACATCCTGGGGCCGTTGCTGTGTGGGAAGAGGCACCCGGATGGAGAGACAGAGCCTGGAGAGAGGCTCCCTTTTCAGGCCAAGGGGAGGAGGGGAGCGCTGGGCCAGTGCTCGGGAGGCAGGGTGCGGAGGCACAGCCTGGTCTCCTCCTCACCACCTTGCTGCAGAGCTGGAGAAGGAGAGTTGGTTTCTATGGCAACCGGTGCCAGGCTCTCCTCCTCCTCCTCCTCCTCCTCCTCGTACCCTGCAGAAGATGAAGGGGGGAGCGGGAGCGCAGGGATGTATTTCATCTGCCAAGCCAACGTGAGGCCCCAGAAACGGGGGAGAAGTGGAGGGTCAAACATGACGACAGGCAGAGGCAGCGGAGCAGGCAAGGCGGGCAGGACGCAGCCTCCTTTCTGCAGCCGTGCAACGTGCTCTGAAACGTGGCTGCACACCTGCCAGCAGGGCACGCGGCCACGTCACGCACACAGCTCAGCAAGGCTGGCTTTCCTTACGGCTGAGAGGGTCTGAAGGAGGGAACTTGCTGCCAGGGGCCGGAAAGGCCCTGTGGAAGAAACTGCCCCATCCCGCTAGTGAAGATCTGCTGCTCTTCTAGAGCTCAGTCCCCGGCCACCCACCCAAGCAAACTGCACAAGCCCTACAGGGGCAGGATTACTGCCCCTCTGCTCCTCTTCCCTAGCTCACCGCTTACCCAGGGGGTTGTAGTCCAGGTTCAGCACTCGGAGCTGGGAGCTGTGAGCCACTGCAATGGCCAGCCGCCCCCAGCCTTTGCTTGTGACACCCGGATTGGCGCTCAGTGTTAGCTCTTTAAGGCCTGGAGAAGAGAGAAGACAAACCATAGCCTAAGGGTCACCAGAGCAGCCAGAAGGGATCTATTTCAGCTAACCAGAACAGCTTTGAGTTGTGTCCCCTCTGCTCTGACTGGCTTAAGGGTTCGGTTTGCATTGACAGCCATCAGCACTTATTTCACTGACTGCTGCCTTCGTTTACCCATACTGTGGCTGTCAACGTTTCTCTGCTCTCCTGAGTCCTGCTTTCCCTAAATAGCAAATGCAGTGGAAAGAAGTAAGGTGTGCAAGGTGACTGACTAGGAGGAGGTGGCAAGAGGTGACAGGTTAGCGACTGGGTAGGAGGGACAGTAAGCTCTGAAGCCGGCACCTAGGAGGGGTGACCAGTTGAGATAACAGCATCGGTGTCACTGTGTGCATGCCGAGGAGAAGGGGTTGGGAGAGGAGGTGGAAGCACTGTGAATGTCAGGGAAGAGGGATGGCCTCACCTCAGTCAGCGCCAGCTCTTGTGTTAACCTGACCTCAGACCACCGAAGATCATACTCTGCAAAGATCTGGGCCTTGGCACCCAGGCTATTACCACCCAACTGCACACTCAGAATACGCCCGCAGTCAGGGACAACTCCCAGGCATTGACAGTGAAGCCAAATGCTGAGGTGGGGACACACCGTACATTTACCAACAGTCATTATCAACGCACAGGTGCAAAACAGCAAAATAAAAGTCCATGCCACCCCCTCCTCCAAATTCCAACATTCCCATCGTGAGCCAGAACCGCCCAGCTGGTCCCTGAGCTCCAAACTGTGCTGGCAGGACAGACCACAGGCAGAAAGCCCACCCCTGCCCGAGGGAACGGCTTCTCCGTTGCCGGGCTTTTCTGCTGTATTTAAGCAAGGAAAAGAAACGTCTCAGTCCAAAACAGAAACCACAGAGCCTGCCCCTCCCTGGCAGAGGATTCGCTCCTGGGTGCCGAGGTGGTCTGCTCCATCCAAAGCCTCCGTTGGTGTCCGCGCAGCCCCCAGCCCCTGGTGCTTACCGGACTTGGCCCCGTCGGGCGGCAGGAGCCCGCAGATGAGGTTGATGCCTTCGTCGCCCAGCATGCAGTCTCCCAGATCCAGAGCCACCAGCGAGGGATGGATGGAGAGCGCGGGGTTGAGGAGAGCCAAGCCAGCGTCCGTCAGGGGGCTCCCATGGAGGCTGCACGGGCGAAAGGGAGAACTGCTACCGAGCCTTCCTCCTCCCGGCCAGGGGCTAACGGGGAGGCAGAAGCAGACGGCATGAGGAGGAGGAGGAGGAGGCGGGGGGAGGGTGGAAACCCGAGCGCCAGGTGGGGGAAACACAGCACGACTCACAACAGCGACTGGACGGAGCGGTTGGTCTTCAGGGCCTCGGCCAGCTGCTTGACGCGGTTGATGTTGGAGACGATGCCCAGGTTGAGGTTGAGCTGGGCCAGGGAGCGGGACTCGGCCGCGCCGCGGCAGACGTGCCCGAAGTCGCGCTCCGAGAGGCGGGAGGCGCGCCGGGGCAGCAGGCGGCCCCAGGTT